TAAAAAAAAAAAAAAAAAAAGGACGAAAAAATAAACAAACAATTTAATCAGATTAATTAGATGAAAAAATTAATATAATGATAATAAATTTCAATCATATTTAAACATTATGGATAATAATAATGAGCCTAAAAATAGAAATTGTTAGTGGCCTAGGAAATGAAATATACTATTTCCAAAAATATTGAGCTATTCGTTATGTTATTGATACTAGTTAGTAGTTAAGTAAGGCTAATAAAGCAATTCGAAGCATAATGTTTACAGCCTAGTTCACAGAATTTCCTTTTTTTTTTTTCTTCTTTTTCTCCACTTTTAAAGACTTCCTGCCTTTTCTCTCCTTTTCATACCTTTCTCTCTCTCTCTCTCTCTCCCTTCCTTAATCGATGTACATATTTAGCATCTTGGTCTAGCTACTACTTCACTTTTCAGGTAGATTAGCAATGATTAATTGAAACATAAATGCGTCAATTTCAGCAATAAATCTAAAACAATACTTATTTTTCTTCAACCTTAACTATCTGGCCTATTGATTAGCATATAAATAGCCTATTATCACTTATCTTTTCTAGGCTTTTTATGAAATTCTCCTCTTTTCCATATTTGACTACAATTTCGATCACTGTATTATAAAACTATTTGTAACTTGTAAAAGAAGTAAACAATACAAAGTAAGTAATATTACGGAACTGTTAATATCACATGTATTTCTATGATAATCCCATCTCTTTGATCATTCAAAAAAAGCTTTCATAACTGGAAAGAATGGCTTTTTTTCTTGTTATTAAAGGATAATTTTACTATTCTATAATCAGTGATCAGAATAGTTTATTCACTTAATTTCCGGATTACAGCTATTCCTGATTCGGTCTATTCAGAATTAATTTGGTTTCCTTAAAGCTTCCAAGAATGACATTGATTGTCGCACTGCTAAATAAGACAATGAAGTAAACCAATTGTGATTCGTAATAATTATGAAAAATGCAATCATATTAAGTTATTAACAGTAAGAAACGTTCGTGTAAAACGATTCAAGCGGAACTAGGATAGATCAAATGGACAAGATTTGATGCTGAAATACTCTGTGATAGTTGGCCTAGGGATAATTTGGGCGTTGCTAAAATGGTTTTTGGCCATGGATGTTATGCTTTCCAAAATTTCACAAGCTATTTGCTTTAGCATAGTAAAGTTATTCTTTTCGAAATATTGATTGGTAAAGAAATTTGCCTAAATTCTATAAGTCAGTACTTTAAATTATTCAAAATTTACCTGCAATTTATAAAATTTGTCATTTCTTTCCTTTTTGCAGCAATTATAGCAATTATAAATAAAATGAATGCCATATGACGTTAAAAATTGAGCAATAATATAGTTAAATTTAAGTAATTCGAATAATTGAATGATTTCGAAAAAAAAAAAACTACTTCGCAACGTCATTTTACGTGCGTCCATAATCAAGTAGTACGTAGCGTTTCACGTAACATTTCAACATCACGTGCCAACTTTATTCAGAAATAACATATTTCGTTAAATTTAAATAATTAAACAATCATGCTTAATGCATTCTTTCTTTCTTTTACATCTTTGATAATAATTATTGTAAATTATTTAAGAATAAATGATATTCGATAATCGATGAAACAAAACAAGACAATTGCATTAAAGGATTAGAAAAATATGTGATATGATCAGTTTTAGAGGAAGGATGTTGCAAAGAGTTGAAAATATTTAATGATTATTCATGAAATTCAAATTACTATTCAAATTACGGTACAACAATTACAATATTTCATAAGATTATCAATAATCATATCAATCTTTCATGCATTTGTATGAAAAAAGAAATTTGATGAAAAATAAAGTGAAAGTAATATATATACATATATATATATTTTATAAATAATAAATTTTTCAAAATAATAATTCATTTAATGAAATGGAAAAATTTTCCAATTTTTGTTCACAAAAATGATAATGATAAAACCGATTGGAAAACCGATTGGAAAACCGATTGGAAAACCGGTTATTCCGCTTTCGCTCAAAACATTTTCATTATAGCAGAACAAGGCATAATAGGGAGATATGTGAAGCATGTGCATAATGTTGGTTATCATATGGCTAACTGGAATATTGAATTTTTATCAATTCTTTGGATCTGTTTATTTGTTGTTTACTTCTTAAAGGTTAATATAGCTTGGTAAATGAAAGATTAAAATTTTCAATATATAGTAAAGCTAACTCAAACATTTAAAAAATGGGATTGATTAAGTTTTAACTTAAATTAAATTGTCAAGTTTAATAGGCTAATTTAATAAAATTAGTTCATATTTTGTATCGTAAGCTTTGTTAATTATTTAAATATGTGATTTTATAACTAGAAGAATTCATGTGTCACTATTAAATATTCAATTTCATACAATTAGTGTGACAAATTTCACTTCTTTTTTTTGTTTTGAAAAATAGTGTAACATTGGGTTCGTTGTTGTATAAATTTGATGTTGCTGAAATTTTGTAATTAAATATTCTATTGACTGGAGAATATAATTTTCCGTATTAATTGATTATCATATATAATATCAAATAAATGATTGAATGAACATATGTATTAGTTAATTAATTAGTCCATCAAAACTTATGCTCTGATAATGTAGTGTGTAAATCAACGAAATACCATACAATTTTAAAGTTTCTTATCAAATAAATTGTACATCCTTCAACTTTCATATTTGAATAATTGAGATAACAAAGAACTGACAGTGATATACTGATATAACACGTACATCATCCTACAATGATATCATAATCATCATCATCACCATCACCATCATCATCATCATCATCATCATCATCATCATCATCATCATCATCATCATCATTATCATCATCATCTCTATTATTGGTGCTGGGAATGTTTGTTAAAATATTTCTAGTTTTCTTTAAAATAAATGATGATCCATTCGTATTTGGCATCATTAAAGGCATCTTTTACCCTACGGCAAAATCTTTCGCTTCCTTCCTCATTATTGAAATTGCTTCATCATTGTAGAAATCATCATCATCACCATCATCATCATCATTATCATTAATTATTATTTTCTTGTTTTATTACATATACATTTTTCTTCTTCTTCAACATCCAGTTGATGGATGGTGTAATTTGAAAGCAAAAGCTAGTTCATCTCAATCAAACAATACATCTTTTTATCGCCGTAATAATCAACTTTCGAATCATTATTAATCCATTTTTACTAATCATGCTATCATCATCATTACTACTTCGTATATACTTTTATTATCACCACTTGAAAGTTAATCTTCTGGAAAATTTTTTAAAAAAAAAAGAAGAACAAACTGAGCCATTAACAGCAAATAAATACATATACGTAATTTGGAATAATTCAGGAAAATGAAAGGACATCCTCTGAAACTTCAAACAGGTGACACTTATTACATTTAACATTATGCTTGCTTCTCATCTTTTGCTTCAAAAGTATATTTGAATCATCGAAATTGAAATTGAAAAATTCGCAAGTAAGTAATACTTTCACATTTTAAACGCTGATGAGAGTAAATGAATAATTTGAAGGAAATTTCTTTTTTCTTTTTTTCTAAATCACAATATTAGTTGACATTTTTTGCAAAATTTTTCATTTTCTCTCTCAATTACTGCTTAGTTAATTTCAAATTTTAATTAAGAATTAACAATTTTAGCAAAAAAAAAAAGGTGTAATTAGATAAAATGTTCCCTGTTTTGAATTTTCAACCTTTCCTTCTTTTTCTCCCTCCTTCTTCTTCCTTCATCCCCTCATTCTACCGAATTATTTCTTGCCACAGATTTCACTTGGTCATTTTTATCCATCTCATCGTTACACTATGTGTCAATATGCATTGGTCAGTTGTTTACGGGTTCCTTCTTCCATCTATCGTTTCTTTTCTTCGTCAATTCAATTCACCTCTCGCTTTTGATCTAACACAAATGCCCTTCAATCATATCACTGCTCCTGTTGCACTTCTTTAGCATGCTAATAGCACAAGAAAACTGAAATTTTTCCTTGTAACTCTCATCATTTCTTTATCATTCTAACCTTTCTAATCCATAAAACATAAAATAAAAAGGCGGAGCTTACAATGTCGCCTGTTTTGATGCCGTTATATATGGGTCATCGAGAAAAGTGGCCAACACAAGTAGCCACAGGGTGGCACCGATTGGAGCAATCTTACATTTATGCTTAAATAGCATGCTGGCTTTTCATTTCTGATAATTCTACCCTGTTGTTAACATTCTTTCTTTACATTCCTCCTGCTACTACACAAATTTAAGCCTAGCTATGGCCAATTGCTGTTGTAAGGTTTCGACAGCAGCTTGGGACACCGGAAATATATTTCGTTAAGAAAGCAATTAATGGACATTCATTCAAACTCTAACTTTCATTTTCAGTACTAAAAGAAGGATGTGGTATTTGTTTGTGATGTTGTTGGATTTCCGAGAATAAATGTTGGGATCGAATATCATCGTACCACAATTTCAATCTCTATCGCGTTATATCTCTTCAAAATATAATATTTTCACTTTCAATTTATTTCAGATTGCACGTTCCACGTGCAATATCAATATATGACATCGTATAAACAATACATTACAATTTTACGACTGTATTCACGTCAAGTAAACAATATTCCATTAGCAATCCTTTTTAGCTACTTGAAAAAAAAAAAAAAAAGTGGTCATATTATAATAAATTTGTTGATAAAAGATAGATGTAAAAATAAGTATAATTTATAATTTATAAGTATAATTTATAAAACAAATATAATACAAAATTACAGTATCAGATAATTTCAGGCCTAATTCAATTAACCATTATAACACAAAATTAGAGTATTAGATAATTTTAGGCCTAATTCAATTAACCAATACAATAAATCGATTGATTAGTCAAGTACTATACGTTAGTAAAATACCGTTTCCAGGATTAATCACCGCATAAAAATAAGAAATCAAAGTGACCGCAGCAATTTGTTCGTTTCGATATCTGTTACAAATAGCATTTTGTATGAAAAAAAAGGATGTGATAGAAATTCCATTTCGAATTTAATTCCATTTCAAACTTGATTCAGTCCCAAATTTGATTCCGAATTTGATTCAAAGATTCCAATTCCTTCATTGTAAACTTTAATTTAAACAAATTTCTTAATATGTGTCATAAGTATTTCTTACTGAAAAATGTTTTCCGCTCGTAAAATCTCTCCTACCCTTGTTCTCCTTCATACCCTATATTGTTTCACATCCTCTCCTCCACTTTACACACTATCTTGTTTCACTATACTCATCTAACCGGTCATTCATGCTATGTATTGCATTGTCGGCAATATTTCGTAATTAATAGTTTATGCACTACTCATCTTACTCAATGTCATCTTATTTGTTTGTTGTTCTGTCAAAATCATTATGTGAACCTTTCACTTTCTCTTGTTGTCTTTCTCTCTTGCTAAAAAGAGCTGATTATGGAAAAAATTTTGCACTCTGTTCCATACTTTTAGTTAAAATTTTATAAAATTCAGAGAAACAGAGTTCATATCAACTGCGTCGCTAATCCATCAAAAATTAATACGATGAGAGAACGAGAGAAAGAAAGCATTGAAATTCCACAATGGAAAAGCAGACTACCAATCATCATTGATACATTATGCAATACTCCCATATTAAGGGTAAGAAAGCAAAGGGAACCATAAAAAAATATTACAACATGGAGAGATTCAGACAATTAGATAATGTTAATATAGTACAAGATATAGCAGCACACGGTTAATAAGTACATGTGAAATATGACGGGAACACTTCATTGGCAAAGAAAACAACAACAACAATATAGGCAGTACTATAGATTGCAGATAAAAGAGAGACGAAATATAATGGAGGAAGAAAGGAACAAATAAAAAGAGAAAATGGGAGAAGTATATAAAAAAGGAAGAGAACTACTGCTGCTGCTGCTGCTGCTGCTGCTGTTGTTGCTGTTGTTGTTGTTGTTGTTGTCGCTGTGGCAATAGATTAGATGGGTCAAGGTAAGGCAGGCAGACTGGCTAGTCGTTCTTGACCAATTGAGCCTGGCACGTGTGGGAACGAAAATAGGATCGATTTCTCTGCAACTTAAAATTGCAATGATGAAGAAGAAGAGAAGGGAAAAGTAAAAATGCTGTTTCAATTTCAGATTTATACCACATTGGTTCAAATAATTTTTCACAAAAATTTGTTTATCCCCTCTTTCTCCCTCTCTCTCTCTCTCTCTCTCTCTTTCTTTCCTTCCCTTCTCTCTTCTTTCTCTA